AACTAACCCACACCAGTATATACTTTGCAAAAAATTTCTAGAATAAAATCTTTGCATAACTTGGATTACCATAAGAAAATTACCATATCTTTGAAGTGTCTATTGAAAATATAAAACTTATCACTGTGAGTTAGCTGAAAAAAAATGTTCTGTTTATACTGTATTTAACTGCATTTTCCTGATTATATGATGTGTTTAGTATGGCAGCTTTTTGTAACTTGATATACGTGTTGTTGTGAAACCCTAACATTTCTAGATTTTTGTAAAGTGTATATAGTATGACATTTGTGCAAGAAAGGACTACAGACACAATATGTATCCTATCCATTCTCCATAGATATTTTATTTCATGGATAGGTTCTGAGCATTTACTAATTTTTTCAGTGTATTTTGTATGTTGGGCTGTACATAAATTATATAACACAGATATTGGTGGGTGGGTATGCAGATAATCATTATAATGCATTACAAGGGAGTGGGTGTGTTTACAAAAAGTTACATAATGCTAGGATCTTTGTATTGAAACGGGAAAAACATGTAAAATTGTGTGGGTTTTTACTATACTTCAGTGAAATCACTAAAGGACCGTGTTGCCTCCCGTTTGTCCTCTACATTTAGCAGCTAGATAGCAGAAGGAACTTATGTACAGTAGACCCCCCTAAAACATGGTAGATACGTTCCATTTTATATGAATTCCATGTTTTACGAGTCACTTAAATACATGAGCCAATCACAGCCTGGCACATGTGCAGTTTAGGGACTACGGCTGTTTGAAAGATTTTCTTCCATAAAATTAATTGATTCTAGACTAATTTGACTCAACATTTTCAAAGCACATATAATTTTTGGGAATAATCCATATAAACTATGCTATAAACAAAAAATTGTAGGAATACTTACCGAGTGTGCACCATTTGACGATGCCATTGCTTAAGCTTGTTTTCATCGCGGAGCGGCGCATCGAATGATGAGCACGTATTTCCTGATAAGTTATTTTTCTGTGAAAAATTTGCTAAACTTTGAAGACATCATTAATAGAAATAATTTTTATGGCCGTTGAATAAGAAATGGTTTTTAGTAGGTCCGCTGCTCGTTTAAACTCAACGGTTTGTGCAATATCTGCTATTGGTCTAGATTCGACCAATCCTGTCGTGACACAAGTTAGCGATGACGTTTTACCATATTATATGAGTCTCTTTTAGCGTGTTTATATGAATATGATTGCAATTTTTTCGCCATGTTATACGAATCCATATTACATGAACCTGTGTTATAGGGGGGTCTACTGTATTTGATCAAACTTTCAGAAGAAATGGAAGATTGTAAATGGACTAACAAGAAACATATAGTTATAGCTGGTATGGAAGTTCCAGATGATTGTAAAGAAGGCAATAGTGTAACTCCAGTGATACCACTCACAGATGCTCTTATCAACCCTTGGGTAACAGAATAATTCATTTTTGTATTCAAAATTTTGCATAGCAAGCTGTACTATTTATGTCACTGCTTTACACATTTTACAAGTAATTAATAAAATAAGTAACTCTCAGTACCCTATGCTGTGTATTCCTGGAATATTGATCAAGAATATGCATTACATAATTTTGGGAATGGGTATATGAAGTTTTATAGAGTATTACATGGGGTGGGATAGTAGTTGAAAAGTATAAAAATAGCATTATGTAATTTATGAACAACCTTTTGTGGGTGTTTGATACAGCTATGTCTATGATGTATGTCAGCAGTTCCCAAACAGGGTATGCATACCACAGGAGTTCATGCTTAGTGGTTTAGGGACACAAAAAAATTAACATTGGCAAATGCACTATAAGAATATTTGGATTCTGCATTGAGGCCTTTGGCACCATCATGGCACTTGATACTTGGTTTTATAAAAATATAATTATATTTTTATTATATTTATCAGTATCTTTCCTGTAACATTTCTAGTTAAAAAACTTTTTTAGATGTAATTATACAGCACTGTATAATTGACCAAAGCACCACTGTTTGACAAACATGTGAAATAAAACTTATGAGAAATGGGTAATAAAACTTTGGAAAATGGGTTACCAAGGGGTATGCAAGTCAAAAAATATTGAGAACCACTGATGTATGTGATTTTATGAAAATGATGTCAGATCTGTTGTGAATTGTTTTGTCTATGGTCATAGTATATTTTGTATGTTGTTTTCTATGAATGTCTGAGGTGTGTATTTGTAGTATGGTTCCTGGGTGTATAGTGATTTGTGTTTTTGTGCAAGCTGTTACATTTTCTATATGATTATGTCAATATAGGTAAGCAGTCTAATGTTATATGTTGCGTAGTCTTGTTTATAATAAGGCATTTCTTACAAGTGTCATGTATACATGTTGTGTCTTAAAATGTGCATTCTATAATTTTTTTTTATATTTTTATAACCTGATCTTGTATGGCAATCACAAACCTTCTATCTCTCCAAATAGGCATTGAGCCAGCCAGCAATTTGATGCAATTCTGTCAACATGATCTGTCAACACATATTGTCAAAGAATTATTTGTGATCCTGGCTGAAATCATTATACTAAGTTTATAAGAGGAAAGTTAGTCAAGATAAGATTTATTCCAATTAAGTTAATTAGGAATAACAAGAAGTGAAGATAGTATTGATAATGAATTCAAAGTTAATTTAGATTAACATGATGTCTTTTTCTAGTTGTTAATTCCAGCAGAGGATGCAAACAAAATACCTGCTGAGATGGATGTGAGAATTCTGCAATTAAATGCTTTACTGTTGCAATTGCTGACTTCAAACAATTACAAGACTGTCTTCAATAATATCATTTAAAAATCTTTACATTTTTGCATATTTTAAATATTAGGTAGGTTCAAAAAGTTCCAAAATGTTTGTTTTTTAAATATTTTACGTTCATGTGAAACTTATTAAATAGTGTCCTTTGAAGTAGTTGCCTCCTTGGTTAATACACCTCTCTTAGTGACATTTCCACTTCTGGAAGCAGTTCTAGAATACATTTTCCCATAATCACATGAACGTCCATTTGCAAATTTTCTATTTATTCTATCATGTCAAATTTTAGTCCTTTCAATGTAGATATCAGCTTTGGAAATAAAACAGTTTATAGGGTCAGGTCTAGAGAGTATGAAAGATGGGAAAGCACTTTTTGCATAAAACTCTCAAACTGTTATCACTGCATGTCTGGACATATTGTGGTGGACAAATCATGAATTATCAATCTAAAGTTCAGTTTTTCCTCCCAATATTTTCTTGAAGTTGTCTAAGCACTTAAAGTTAGTACCACAGATTTACCTTGTTAACTTTGACCATGTAAATATTGTAAGTTAATGTCAACAGCTGTCCTAAATGTGGATTATCACCAACAGACTTCTGACCATTTTTAACTTCTTACACCAGTCATAGTACTGAGTTCATAGCACTCCATAATAATCACTATATAGCTGTTGCATCATTCAAAGTGTCTCAGTAAAGCTCCTTCAGAAGTTTCATACAAAATTTAATGTTGATATGCTGGTGTTTATAGTCAGCCATATCAAAAATTGCAAAGTCAATAAGATCTTATTTGAAGAAGTGAAGAGTAAAGACTATCTCCAATAAAACTATGTAATGACCATGTGGTCAACAGACAAGGTCGCTGCTATGCAGAGATGAGGTCATATTTTGCTACAATCATCCATTTGTGTACAGTTCCAAAGTTTAAGGAACTTTTTAAACTGACATTGTATACTGCAAAATTTTATTTATTCTTTAATTGAATAAATAAAATTTTGCAGTATACTTCCTATACTTCTCTTAATGTAAAAATTTTCTCAATCCAATTTGACAATCTTTTTTCACTAATTTTATATATATATAGAATAAAATATTACATACAATTGAATTGTTTTGAATGAATTGAAATAGTTATGAAATCAAAATGATAATACATACACAAAACAAATGGCATGGCATCATGCCACTAACCTACTTAAAGAAGATTAACTCCATTACAGAAATGGTGTTAACTCAGTTATTAGAAAAGTGTTTGGGATTAGTTAACTCACTTCTGTTCAAATTAAAAAGTTTATTTGGTTCAAAGGCTTGAGTGGAATTAACTTTTGATGCCTAAACATAGTATTAGGGTGCCTTTCACAGAGATCCTTTCAATCCCAAGACTGTTTGATGGTGCCTGTGCATTTCTTGTACTGTGTTAGATCTAGGTCAGTGTTATGTAGATTTAATGGTTATTATTTTTGTCTGCTAGAGTTACAGCTTTGTGTAATTGTAATTTTTTTGTAGGAAAAGTCTTGTAGTGTCTGTATTTATTTGTAGTACAGGTTTAAAATGTCAGGTCTCTTTCACCCTCTTTACAAGGAAGAGTCAGCCATTCTACACCAGACTTAAAGTGACATTTATGTTTTGTTAATGTTCACATTTTCCTTTGGAGCTGTTCTAGTTCCAAGTCTTTTCTGATCAACCCTTTGTTCTATAACCCTGAGCTGTTAATATTTTTGTGTGAATTTGTTATGTACTGTTGTTTCCAGTTTTGTGATGGTGTAGTAAATACAGGTGATAAATTCATTTATGTCTTGACCCACTTCATCTGTTGATATTATTTTCCATCCTTTGTGGTTAGTGGCTAGATTGCCACTAAAGCACTTCGACTGGATTAGTGTGTGTGAGTGAGATGGTAAATACATTAGTGTTTGTAATATACGAGGGTCGTCCCAGAAGTACCCAACCTGACATAGATGGCGGTACTTGTTTGAAAAAAAAACGACTGTGTTCAAAAGTATTAACCTTATAAAGCTTAAGTTTAAAGTTTGAAGACGTTACGTTGTATAGTATTTTTTTGGCAGCCATAAATAATGAACAATCTCAGTGAATTTGTAAACATGGAAAAAATTTGTCATCGTTATGTGATACAATATTTTCATTTGAAAGGTTTCAGTCCAACCAATATTAAAGCTGAGCTAGATTCTACTCTGGGGGAGTCTGCTCCNTCCGAAAACAATTTTCGTACACCAGATGGCGGTATGAGTAGCGGCAAGATCGTTTTGTAGTCGTTTGGCATGTTTGGTTGATACGAGGAGTAAGTCGTTTTTATGAAAAATTTATTTATTTTACATTTAGTAAACAAATTTACAATATCTTTTTATAAAGTAAGGTCATTTTATGAATTTAGCAAACTATTTTAAGGTAATTTGTGTATTTATACGCCTATACATTAATCACTTAAAAGTTACTTGTATCCAATCTCTGTTAGTACAAAGCTTAGATTTTACTTTATAATGAAGATTTGAATTATATTTACGTCACAATAAACAATTGCTCGTTCCTTAATATAACTGAATAAGAATCTGACTATTTGAATTAATTAAATTAAACTCAATTAAAGGACCATCAGTAGGGGGTTCATAAAACAAGACATAATGTTACAATGAAATATTTGGGTTAAAGTGTACCTAGGTAACACCAATGGTGGCGCTTCTGACTGTTTGTGCTCTTGACGGACTCCTCCGGGAGGGGAGCCGGCGTCGGGCCGCCGAGTGTTTAACGTCACTCACGGTAGTTCTTGAACAAAATAAAAAAAAAAAAGGAAACTTAGACTCAGGGCTGTGGAGTTGCGTAAAAATCTACCGACTCCGACTTTTCCTTATCATCTGACTCGACTCCGACTCCGGCTAAAACACCAAAACTCCACGACTCTGACTCCGACTCCGACTCAACAGCCCTGCCAGGGCTGTGGAAGTTGCATAAAAATCTACCGACTCCAACTCCGACTCCAACTTTTCCTTGCCATCCAACTCTGACTCCGGCTAAAACATCAAAACTCCATGACTCCGACTCCAACTCCACAGTCCTGCTTCGACTAAAAATATAGTTATTGTAACCTAAGCTAACCGAAGTGCTGCCATTGGGGTTACCTAGGTACACTTTTCTGTAACAACTGTCACATCATCATCATCATCATCATCATACCTTGCTGATATAATATTTTATTAAAATAATTTTTGTTTTACAGTCTAATAAAACAATGGATACCGATTTATATGATGAATTTGGAAATTATATTGGTCCCGAATTAGAAAGTGAATCGGAAGAAGAAGAAGAGGAATACGACAGGCAAGATGCTGACGTTCAGGAATATCACGAGGTTTGTGGCAATTTTACAAGATACGTGCAACAAAAAAATATTCGGTATAACATAGTATGTGGAAGTGACAAAATCAAAACAGTTTCAAATGTTGAATTTGGCTGTCAAAATCTATATTTAATTCTTTAATTAGATAGATAAATAAGGTATTTTATATTCATGAACATATTATCTGCTACATAAGACCAAAAACTATTTTGAAGGTATTTTGGTGTTTTTTTTTTGTATTTATGCTACCAATTTACATGAATTAGATTAGTATATTAATTGCATTTTGTAATTGTTTTGCTTTGCATTTCAAAATCAAATGAATGTTAATTAATGTGTTTGCATGAGATTCATTAGTTTTTGATGAAATGTTTTGATTTTTAATGTTTGTTCAAATTTTACTTTTTCTGCAAATTAGTGTCAAAGTAAATAAAATTAAAATTGTTCTTTTGTTAATGATATATTCATGATCTTATTTCATTATCAATATAATAACCAAAGTGTCTTTGTTTGCTTGATTGTTTGTTTGGTTTCATTTGTTGTTTTTCTTTCTCAATGGATGGCAGTACTTCATAACACGTTGTAATACAGTCAAAGTTCCCTCTAAGCTGCATGGCTGCACACTACTCAAATTGTTGCCGCGCACATGAATTTATGTGCTGCGCAGGTGAGTGTGCACACTGATATGAACTGGTTATTATTAGATAAAAATGAACACTACAAACACCTAAGATACCAGCAAGAAAATTAAACACAGGCAAAAATGTTCACACTTCATGTTTAATTTTCTCGCTGGTATCTTAGGTGTTTGTAGTGTTCATTTTTATCTAATAATAACTAGTTGTTAAGTAGCAGTTGTCAGTTTAATTTTAAACTTATTGAAACAAACATTTCAATATGTTTTTGGTGTAGAATATCTATTCATAATTCTTGCAAACTAGACAAGTACTGTATCTTATAAATAATGCTATTTGGGTTCTAAGAAATAATCCATCATGCTAGTCCATAGCCATATACAGTATATATTTTCTTAAAGTTAACACTGTGAACCATTACTTGATAAGATTAATCTAGAATAATAGATATTATATTTTATAAACAGTACATTTAATTGGTTAGTTGACTAAAATTTCATAAAGATTTGATGAGAAAAATATATATAAAAAGTGAGCATCAACAATCAATATAAATAAAACATTTTATACTTTTACTCAAATGCTGTAAACACTACTATTACAACAGAAAAATTGAAGATAATTCATGATGACATTTTTATTATGAATTGATTATCTTCAATTTTTCTGTTAAAGAAAACAGAGAAGTTTTGTTTCAAATGTCCTCCTGTTTGACAAAAATGTTATTGTTTGTCTTACAGATGTAGAGTCAGAATTAACAATAGATCAAATTATAAAAAGACTCAATTTCATTTCATAAAACTATACATTGTTACAAAAGATACAAGAAAAGTTATTCAAGCATGAAAAGTAACTGTTTCATGAGTTCCCAATTGGCAACAATAATTAAATATCTGTTTTTAGATTGAGAATGGACTTCCTCAATTGGCGGTTTGTCACAATCATACATTCTTCTTTTAGAATCTGGAGAATCATTCGTATTGTATCTTCTTTAGCCGAATGAAAGAGAATTAAATACTGTATTTACTCTCATATAAGACAAGGTTTTTATTCATTTTTCACTGCTTCAATAACCTAGGTTGTCCTATACATGTGAGCAAAGAATTCATTTCATTTTTGCAATAAGTTTTGTAAACTGTGTATTCACATTTTTTACTGGATTCTCGCTTTCTGATGTTTAAAAACAAAAGTATTTTATCTGGGTTGTTTGAATCATTCTTGCGTATTATCAGGAGTAAAGATGAATAGCAATAGGAAAAGCAAAGGTTTTGAATTGAATTCCAAAATTACATGGGAGCCCAATATAAGTTTTAATCCATTCCCACGTGAAAACAGATGATTAGTTGGAAATCAGAATTTGGAGAAACTCATAAGTTTAACTGACAAAGAGTGAATTTGACTGTTAAGAATTGGCAAAAAAGATTCCCAATAATTGTCCAGGTTTACATGAACAAATTATGTTGTCGATTTTACAAGATTTTTACTTGAAGTTTAAAATACCAGTAATTTTTGCAGGACAATGTGTGCATTTACATGCATTTGATATTTTATTTGTGATTAAACAAAATAAAATTAGAATTGTATTAATAAATCTAATTTTCTTTATTTTGATCTTTAAAGTCACACCTTGTCCTATATGCGAGATCGTCTTATATCTGAGTAGATACGGTATTTGCATTTCATTTTTTACATATTATATACAACAGTCATTTTTGATTATATCATAAATGATGAAAATTGGATACTTTACCATGATTTCAAAAGGAAAAAACAGTGAATAGAAAACTAAATAGCCAAGGACAATAACAAAAGAAAAATAAGAATATCTTTTTTGATGCAATTCTAATAGGCTGAATAAATCCTGTATGATTTGTTTTGAGCTTTCAAAGCCTAATCAGAAAATAAATTTTAATGTTGGTAACATTTAACATTGGGTGTAAAATTTATTTTAAAAATATCCAATATTAATGAATAGAAAACAGGTTCTGCACCATTGTAACAATACTGGAAAACCATTCTTCACATTGCAAAAAAAAAAAAAAGCTAAGAACTTTAACTGTGTTTAACTGTGAGATCAACCCTTATTTAGTATACACTCTGGATTACACTACGAAGACCTATTCTCAGTGGAGTTGGAGTTAGTAAAAATGTACTGTCCCCAACTCCAATCTTCACATAAAATTAAACTTAAACTATAGACTTACAAGGAGATGTCCAAATGTTCAAGTTTCCAATTTAAACAAAACTTGGTGAGCACATAGCTCTAAACACAAACAGCTCCTTGTCCAAATAATAGGACCCACTTCTCAAGTGTTTCCGAAAATTGGGCCTCTGATAATTGACTATTTAGCTTCACTGCCTTTTTATCCATTTGGCCATCACCATTACAAAAGAGAAGTGAAACTTACAAAAGAGAAGTGAAACTTCCAAAAGCTAATCTATATGATGTAGGTTCAAATCTACAAAATTTCATTTTTTTTTTGTGTAATAAAACATAATTTTACATTATTTAGAAAGAGGCAATAACAACTTGTAACAAATTGTTATTCGAAATCTATTGGCAACACTATGTGCATAAATGATACCAACTCCTGGAATTATTTAAAAATTTTTTCAAGATGATAATTAACTTTTAATTTGTGTTCAAAATTTTAGAATTTTTCTGGAATATTACAATCTTTGATTTGTCCAAACTGATTAATAAGTGGTTTGATTTTATGTATGCATTAAGAGAATTAATTTTTCTTTGTAATTCTTTGTAACCAACACCTAAATGTGATTTCCATCAAACAATAAACAAAAAATTTATTGTTCAAACTTTTTCAGCCATCATTTAGAGGCCCTCATCTTTGTAATTCAATTTTTGTAGGAACTACCAGTATCAAATCATCCACAAACTAAATTATGGAAGATTTTATGATTAATATGAATCCCATCATTAGAATTTATAAGAAATAAACTGTCCAAGTCCAATAAGTAGAAATTAAATAAATATGAGCATAAGGGATCCCTCTGCAAAATACTTCTAGACAAGTTGAACTGAGGAAAAGACATATTACCCATTTGGATGTTAACTTTGTAACCCAAAAGTAACTTCAAAATCATTGTACAAAATTTGTTGCCAATTCCATTACTATATAATTTATTAACTAATTCTGATATGTAAACTGTATCAAATGCTTTTTATAAGTCCATAAAGGCAGTAAATAATTTCCTATCTTTTCTGTTAATTTTGTAATTGAATCAATAATATTAAAGTAAATATGGCAAACTTCATTCCTTTTTTTCTATTAGTAGTCATACTAAAATTCAGATATTAAGCTCTCTGTCTCCATCCAATTAATAAATCATGTAGACAATAATGATGTAAAACTTTATCTTGATGTTAACTAAAGCTATCAGTCTATAGTTTTTTGGTAAACCAGTTTTACCTTTATTAAAAATCATTCATGTATTCACTTTTTTCCAATATTTAGAGATTAAAGAGTTCTATAAAATAAGTTAAACAGATCATTTCTGACTACTTAATTTGAGTAATTTCTTTAAAAAATTTGTCGATATTAAATCTTGATTTGGTGCCGTACTCTCCTACAATTATGATCTTGTTCAATTCTTCCAAGGAGAATTCTGCATCTAATATCTCATTATTAATCTGGGTTGAGATTAACAAAGATTGACAAATGTATCTTCAGAACAGTTAAAAAAAGAGTACCAAGTTATTTGGATTTTGTAGTTATATTTGGGATTAGTACAAAATATTTTTATAGTAGGCCAGAAAAGTTTGCTATCATTAAATATGTTTAATAAATAATTTTTTGAACTTGAAAAATAACATTTCTTTTTTGCTTTTAACATTTTTAATGTAAGATTGTTTTAATTTCTTGTTAGTGTTTAAGTTGCTATCTCCTGACTGAATTTTTCCTGAATTTGGTTAAACTCTCCATCTTTCTAACAGGGCTATTAGATTATTTGGCACTGGAAGCAAACTAAAATATAGCACCTTATGGATAAATCTTTCATTAGTCTGTTACATATTTACAAATCATAAAACACTTATTAATATAATGCATATTATATTCCATAATATAATTTTTCATACTCATATGTGACAGTTTTATTTGAATTTATTAGTTCATTCATGTAACAATTTTGGAATTTAGTGCCCCATTATCTCAGCACCCTGGACACATGTCCCCTTTGCCCCTGCCTTTCTATGGTCCTGCTTTCTAATACACATACTATAACATGCATAACCATATTAAGAATTTTTTTATCCATAATGTGAAGCTCAAGCTGAGCTACAAGTATTATAAATATACTT